TAACTATATTGGTTGATAATTTCCACATTCTATTGGATCATTTCTTTGGGGGAATAGGAATAAATATGGCTATCTTCCAGTCAGTTGGCCAGGTAGCTGTCTCCCAAATTTTTTGGCACAGACTAGTGAGTATGTCCAGGGATGTATCTGTTTGTAAAATTAGACGCAAGTAAAATTTTGCTGATGATTATTTTTAAAATGGCTAGCACAGGACTTTGAAAGAAAACTACCAATTAATTCGAGTAGAATACAGAAAAGACTGGCACAGGGGATATTATTGCCTATAGCAGATAGATCTTGGTGAAAGCAGAGAATATTTGTATTTTATTAACTATGCAAAGGCATTTGATTGTATGAATCAGAAGAAATTGGGGGGGGGAGTAAAAGTAAAATAAAACCCCCCCACATACAACAAAAACAAATTAGAACTAATATTGAGAAGAATGGGAATCCTGGGACACTTAATTGTACCCGTGTGACATCTATAATAAAGAGTAAGAAACTTGTCCAAACAGAACCAAGGAACACTGCCTGGTTTAAAATTGGTATAGTTGTGTGTCAGGTTTTATCTTTTCTTCATACTTACTCAGGTTGTGGTCTAGTGATAAGAAGTTGCATTGTTAACCCTAAGGCATGCAATTCAAGTCCACCAGCTACTCCATGAGAGAAAGATGAGCAGTTTCCTTCTATGTGATTTATAGCTTCTCTGAAGATAGACTGGAGAGTCAGCTATGATTTGGTTTGAGCTTGACAGTACCTAATTATAGGACCATGATTTATTATGTACACTGAGCAAATCATTGTAGAAACTACACTATATGAAGAAGAATGTGGCATCAGGATTGGAGATGAAAACTCATCAACAACCTCCATTTTTCAGATAACCCAATCTTGCTTGCTGAAAGTGAAGAGTACTTGAATCACTTGTTTCAGAAGATCAAAGACTATAGCTTTTAGTATACTTTACATACCAATACCAAGAAAACAAAAATTTCTTACCACTATATCAATAAGCAACATCCCGATAGATAGAGAAAAGATTGGAGTTGTCTCAATAATTTCATTTTACTCAAATCCACAATCAACACCCATTGTAACAGTTGTCAAGAAGTCAAAATATGTGCTGCGTTCAAAAAATCTGCTATTGGGGACATCTTTAAAGTTCTCAAGTGCAGGGATGTCCATTTAAAGACCAAGACCTGCCTGATCCAAGCCATGCTTTTTAACTTACTTCCTAAGTAAGTGAAAGTTGGACAATGAGTAAGGAAGACCGCAAAAGAATCAATGTCTTTGCGCTGTGATTCTGGAGAAGGGTACCGAAGATCCCATGGAGTGCCAGCAGAACAAACGACTCTGTCTTGGAGGAAATGCCACCAAGGTGCTTCTGAGGTGCAAAGATGGTGAAATGATCTCACCTACTTTGGGCATGTTGTCAGGAGGGACCTGTCCTTGGAAAAAAGATGTCCTGCTGTGGAAGGGATAGAGTCAGAGAAGAGAGGAAGACCCTTAGCAAGACAGATTGATGCACTCACTGTAACAAGGGATTGTAGCTTATCAGAGACTGTGAGTTTGGCACAGGATTGGCCAAGTTTCATATCTATTGTTCATAGGGAGGCTCTGATTTATGGTTGACTTGATGGAACCCACCACCACCAACAATATTGCACTGGGTGCTTTGGTGGCCTAGTATGTAAGGACTTCTCTGCCACTTTGAATCCACGAGCTGCTCAGCAGGAGAAAAAATGGTAGTATCTTCTTGGGAGATTTATAGTCTGTGAATATGATTTGGTTCTGACTCTGCAGCAATGTGCTTCAGTTGTTTAATTCAATCTGTATACTGAACAAATAATCTGGTGTGCTGGACTGTATAAAGAGCATGCCATTATGATTGGCGGAGGACCCATTAACAACTTGTGATGTGCAGATGGAACAATCTTACTTGCGTTAACAGCCAAGAAGAATTGAAGCACTGACTAATGTAGATTAAAGACTATATATAGCTATCAGTAGGACTATACCTCAAAATAAAGAAAACAAATATCCTCCCAAGTAGGCCAAAAAATGACCTCGTGCTAAATAAATGATGGAAGCTGTCCAAGATTTGATTTTACTTGACAGAGTGAGAGCAACAATGGGTATGAACTTGGTAGAGGTAGAGAAAATAATATGGGAAATATGGACCCAATGATTTGTATTCATAACTCTTGGGTCATATAGTGTCCATCTGTTTTCTTTCTATAGGGTTTATTGAGCAGCTGTTTTCCCACTAACAGTGAATGCAGCCTTTAGGAGGAGACTTGTGTAAAAGGTTAAAAAGGGGGGAGGAGGAGTCCAGGCATGTGCCAAAAATTACTGTTTTTATGACATGTATTTTATGAAGGTTCAGCCTGGAGAGGGTTAAACCTGGCTGCTCCTTCGAGGCAAGGATTCT